ACAGCCTGGCCGTAAGTGTGATACGATATCAAGGGAAAATGGGCAACAAAATACAAATGTGGCCACCTTCATTCACACCATGGAATTACCTCTCCGATATTCACCTGTGGCCCTCAACCCGAGGTGCAAACCTGTTGCCAAACCAAACTAGCTCCTTGGTACAGAACTAAGCTCGGTCGAGGTCGCTCGGTTGCATCAAAGATCACCTCAACGAAAATGGCGGAGAAGCAATACTGGAACAATCTCCTCCGACCCGTTCACTGACCATCTCCGCACTCCATCCGCCCTACCAACGGTCCTCCTCCAGCGCTGGCCAGAGCATACCCGCCAGAACCACTGGATGACGATGTGGTTGGCGTGGAAGTCGCCCTTGTAGACGGTGTTCTGCTTCCAGTTCTTGACGTCGATGTTGCCCAGGCCGCACATGAGCAGCTCCAGCTCATTCTCGTCGAAGATCTTGAGCAGCGGCAGCGGCACGATCTCGTTGAAGCCCTCCAGGATGGCGTTCATCTGCGGCTTGATCCGCGACACGAAGCGCCACTCGATGATCAGGCTGCGGGCGGCAACAGTCGTTAGCACAGGCTCGTGGGCAGCGCTGCAGGGCGACGGGTCGTCAGAACACCTTCGTTGGCAGATCGGTGGGGAAGGGGCGCAGGACGCGTTCGTGAACAGGGCTGCAGGGGCGTCAGGCCACGATCCGGGGCAGAGCTGCGGAGCAGGGGCCATGCGCGCCCGTGAGCGAAAAGGGGACTTCAGTGCGCCACAGACAATTCCATACTGGTCAGATCACCATTCACTCAGGACACTCCGCTGCAATGTCGCACTGAAACATCCAGTACGGGAAGGGAAACAATGGCCGTTTCTGAGCAGTCACAAAGCAAACGAGCGTCCACCTTCCACACGTCGAAAGACACGACTCACGGAAACGTTGCAAAAAGTTGGCGACGCGTGTGCTCGCAAACACCAAATGACGGCAGGCCCTCGTTCGCAGCTATCTAGACCACGGTCACCTCGCGACGGCAGGCCCTCGTTCGCAGCTATCTAGACCACGGTCACCTCGTGACGGCCGGCCCTCGTTCGCAGCTATCTAGACCACGGTCACCTCGTGACGGCAGGCCCTCGTTCGCAGCTATCTAAACCACGGTCACCTCGTGACGGCCGGCCCTCGTTCGCAGCTATCTAAACACGGTCACCTCGTGACGGCGGCCCTCGTTCGCAGCTATCTAAACCACGGTCACCTCGTGACGGCAGGCCCTCGTTCGCAGCTATCTAAACCACGGTCACCTCGTGACGGCGGCCCTCGTTTGCAGCTATCTAAACCACGGTCACCTCGTGACGGCAGGCCCTCGTTCGCAGCTATCTAAACCACGGTCACCTCGTGACGGCAGGCCCTCGTTCGCAGCTATCTAAACCACGGTCACCTCGTGACGGCCGGCCCTCGTTCGCAGCTATCTAAACCACGGTCACCTCGTGACGGCCGGCCTCGTTCGCAGCTATCTAAACACGGCACCTTCGTGACGGCAAGGCCCTCGTTCGCAGCTAGCTAAACCACGGTCACCTCGTGACGGGCCGGCCCTCGTTTTGCAGCTATCTAAACCACCGGGGTCACCGCTCGTGACGGCAGGCCTCGTTCGCAGCAGTATCTAAACCACGGTCACCGCTCGTGACGGCCGGCCCTCTTTCGCAGCTATCTAAACCACGGTCACCTCGTGACGGCAGGCCCTCGTTCTCGCAGCTATATTAAACCACGGTCACCTCGTTACGGCAGGCCCTCGTTCGCACTATCTAAACCACGTGTCACCTCGTGACGGCAGGCCCTCGTTTGGCAGCTAGCTAAACCCGGTCACCTCGTGACGGCAGGCCCTCTTTCGCAGCTATCTAAACCACGGTCACCATCGTGACGGCAGGGCAGCCTCGTTCGCAGCTGATCTAAAACCACGGTCACCATCGTGACGGCAGGCCCTCGTTCGCAGCTATCTAAACCACGGTCCCACCTCGTGACGGCCGGCCCTCGTTCGCAGCTATCTAAACCACGGTCACCTCGTGACGGCAGGCCCTCGTTCGCAGCTATCTAAACCACGGTCACCTCGTGACGGCCGGCCCTCGTTTGCAGCTATCTAAACCACGGTCACCTCGTGACGGCAGGGCCCTCGTTCGCAGCTATCTAAACCACGGTCACCTCGTGACGGCAGGCCCCTCGTTCGCAGCTATCTAAACCACGGTCACCTCGTGACGGCAGGCCCTCGTTCGCAGCTATCTAAACCACGGTCACCTCGTGACGGCAGGCCCTCGTTCGCAGCTATCTAAACCACGGTCACCCTCGTGACGGCAGGCCCTCGTTCGCAGCTATCTAAACCACGGTCACCTCGTGACGGCAGTCCCTCGTTCGCAGCTATCTAAACCACGGTCACCTCGTGACGGCCGGCCCCCGTTCGCAGCTATCTAAACCACGGTCACCTCGTGACGGCAGGCCCTCGTTCGCAGCTATCTAAACCACGGTCACCTTGTGACGGCAGGCCCTCGTTCGCAGCTATCTAAACCACGGTCACCTCGTGACGGCAGGCCCTCGTTCGCAGCTATCTAAACCACGGTCACCTCGTGACGGCCGGCCTCGTTCGCAGCTATCTAAACCACGGTCACCTCGTGACGGCAGGCCCTCGTTCGCAGCTATCTAAACCACGGTCACCTCGTGACGGCAGGCCCTCGTTCGCAGCTATCTAAACCACGGTCACCTCGTGACGGCAGGCCCTCGTTCGCAGCTATCTAAACCACGGTCACCTCGTGACGGCCGGCCCTCGTTCGCAGCTATCTAAACCACGGTCACCTCGTGACGGCAGGCCCTCGTTCGCAGCTATCTAAACCACGGTCACCTCGTGACGGCAGGCCCTCGTTCGCAGCTATCTAAACCACGGTCACCTCGTGACGGCAGGCCCTCGTTCGCAGCTATCTAAACCACGGTCACCTCGTGACGGCAGGCCCTCGTTCGCAGCTATCTAAACCACGGTCCAGTCGCCGGCCAACTAAGCTCAACTCACCCGATATACTCATTTTTATTTTCATTCGTCACTGGAATGTTGGCGCCGTTCGGCTTGAGCTCGCGTTCGTTCTTCTTTCCGAAATTCTCCTCATCGACGGCGAAGGTCAGCTCCAGGTCGGCCGGGTCGTTGTCCTGGAGGCAGACACCACTCCGTCGGTCCACGCAGCAGCGAAACCAAACGCGCCACTGGCCGTCTGAGGCTTGACGGCGCGTCAACTTCATTGGTTATCTGCACCGCTGCCGTCTACGTCGGTCGCCGTTTACATAGTGGTCGAGGAGTCCCCCATATTTCTGAGTGATTCGTGGAGCTGCTGCCCCAGGCTAAAGTTCTCAGGCAGGTCGATACCGATTTTTGACCCTCATTTATGCAGTGTTGTGCAGAGTTTGGACATTTCAAGCCGGCTGGATTGAGACATGTGATTTATGGTGCACTCAGAAGCCGATCATGGGAGCCTTACGGGCATGGGGCAGATGAGCTCACCACCGCACCACTTACGGTCGCAATACAAGACAGAAAAAATACTCCGGCTATTTAGGGCAGTGCAATGCAATGCATTTGGATAAGGTTGGTTCTGCATTTTGCAGCCACGCAGGTTGCTACGCACACCACTGTTTTCTTGTGCACGTAAATCGCACACTAGAAGGGGTCAAATTACCGCAGCAAAACTACATATTTTGGTAGAATCCAGGACACGGCGGTGAAAGCAATAGTGAACTGAAGAAATGGTGAACTAACAGCACCCTTCGAAGTTCATTCCACTGTGTTGTCACCAGGTATACAGGCAGAGCAGTGCTCCACTCAGTTGCACATAGGGAAGTTGTGGCACTTCTCCACCTCATACCACATCACAAAATCGTAGTGCTCTGTCCCCATCTACAGGCACGAGTCGAAGCACTCATCCACCCCGCTCCACATGTAGGAGTGCAGTACTCTACCTCGAGCCGCATAAGGGAGCTGTCGTATCTCACCTTGATCCACATCAGGGAATTGTAGTACTCCGAGTCGACGCTCTCCATGTCCTTCAGCTCGATGGGCATGGCCAGCATCATCTTGTAGAACGGGCGGATGAAGAAAGCTGCGGCAGAGTACCACCGTTAAGGCGTCCTCGTCAGAGGCCAGCAGCGCCACGGCAAGCAGCCAAATGGCGCACCGTGTCCGACGGCCTCCACACTTTGCAGGTGCCGTAACCCGCTTATCGCACTTGTAAAGTAGGTAGTGAATGAATGAGTGAATGACGTGAACAACAAGGCAGTGGATAACGACGGTGACAATTAATTTCGTCTTGGCTGCATGTCCATCCTCAACGACGGCCACATGTTTTTCTGTCAAAGCCCGCACATATCATGTAACTTCTGTAAAACGTCGATACAAAAGCTGCAATCAGCACCCAGCCGGCGAACACCAAACTTGTTCACAATTTTCTCATGCGTATTTCATATTCACTATTGTCACAATACGCTCGTCAAACAGCCGCACCGCTATCCCTCAGCCCGAGGTGGCCTCACCATCCAACAGTTTGCCGTGGAACACAGACATGCCGGCCACCCGGCCGATGAACTTGAAGTAGGACAGGTGATCATCGTTGCACAGGCCCGAAGCTGGGTTGATCTGCAGCGTGTAGTTGTCCCTGATGAGCGAGCGGGCGCGTGAGGCGTCCGCGGGGCGGTCAGCTTCATGACACAGGCCATATAGCGTGTCCCGATGACACGCTGGGCAGGAGGGATACCTGGGCACCCATGCGCTCTGCAGAGCAGTGCAGTTCAGTGCGGTACAACAAGGTACGCTACAAGTGCAGTAGCGATGTACAGCGCCGAACAGAACGGCGCTCCACAGCACAGCGCAAGGCGCTGCCAGCGACGAGGCACGCCACGCCACAATACGGTACAGTGCAGTGCAGTCCAGTGCCGGGATATAGCAGCGCAGTTCAACACGACCCGTTGCCACGCAGTTCCGATAATTTGCTTCCCCCGCCCCCCCCCCCCCCCCCCACCCATTGCCGAACGTATTCGGGCCAGACGCACGCGACCCTGGTGCGGCGGAGCGGCCAACCCCGCGCCGCCCAGGCCGGCCGTCCGGCACTCACATGGCCGAGTACTCGAACAGGCCGTAGTAGGGGTTGAACATCTCGTGCGAGAGCAGGAAGAACCACTCGCGCGACAGGCCACCGTAGTCGTACGCCGGCTGTCGATCAGACGGACGGGTCAGGGGCCATGGGGGGGGGGGGGGGGCGGTGGTGGGCACGCCTGGTGCCCCCGAGCCTGGCCCCAGTGCTGAGCCGAAGAACCGCCGTCGGTGGAGCGCTCGCGTGGGTGGGCTGTGGGCCGCCGTGCCATTCAACGTGCTGCTCATCTCTGGGTGTTTCCCACCACATTTGCGAGCACGTCTCCTCGCTGTAATAGGCGAGTGAATGTCGCCAATGTTGGGCAATGTCCAGCGAGGTTCAAGAAAAAAACGCCACAAACGATGACCCCGCACAGGACGACAGCCTGCAGCCTCCGCCAAGGATCCACGCCTGAGTACAGATCTTCACGTCCATTGTGAAGCCAGCTGCGATTCCAGAGAATGCGGCCGGACCACGTCAGAGCGCATGACGGCGTCACATGTCCACACGTCGACCAACACCATCAGCAGACCACAGCGCACCAACACACCGTTCGGCAGCGGAGAAGCCGCGCTGAGCATCGTCATCGGCCCCAGGCGCGCACAGCACACCGCCGGCGCACGCAGCGCCGTTACCTCTCCGTGGAACTCGATCCACAGCTTCGTCTTGAGCAGCTCCACCCGGGTGACGCACGTGATGATCCGGAACGAGTCTTCGAACACCGAGTTGCGGTGCACCTTGATCTCGAACTTGTTCGGCACGCCCGACTGCAGCAGGGCCACTGAGTGATCATTAAATCCGCGCACGCGTCGGGCCGACGCTCAGCCGCCGGCGCCGACGTACCGCGGTCTGACATGAGGCAGCAGCGAGTCTCACCAACAACCATTACCAGGATCCCATGTAGACAAAATACGACAAGATACGCATAAAATCCACACGGAGCGCCCAGCAACGCCCGGCTCAGTCCCCGATGTTCCTCGTCCCCGTTCCCGGGTCACTGACCGGTCGCTTCAGCTGGTTTCTCAGGTACTCGTACTTCTGTTTGTAGTCGCGGCTGTAGGGTACCACCTCGCCGGCGATGCTGGGGTTGAGGAGGCGCGGGTCCTCCCAGGTGGTGGTCCGGTTCTCTGCGGCACGGCATGCAGCCGTACAGAACAGAGCCGAAAGGCGAGCGGCAAGGGTTCAGTCACGACACGCCAGCCAATGGGGAGGCTGGAGATGGGGCAAGCGGCTGTCGTCTTGGAAACAAAACATTCCGGGTGATATTCTCAGTGACGAAAAAGACAACGTCAAGGATGTTATCTCCAAAAATGAAAAAAAATTATAGGTACCACTAAACACAGTCACCTATTGAACTTATTTGGTGTGCCTATGTTGAGCACAAGGTATTACGTCCAGCCCACACTTTTCCCATACACCGAACGCGAGTACCGACATCGTACACCGAGCGGGCACGCGGGCCTAGTGCGCTGACGGGGGAGATGCCAGGCGTCCGTGCGTGCCTGGCGTCCGACGGCTCGACACGAGCACGCCACCGCGCCCGCGCAGCGCGCGTACGGACCGCGCGGGCCAACGGCGAGCGCGGCCGCCGCGCCGGCCCCACTGACTGTGGTCGATGAAGAAGATGCGTCCGTCAGCGTGCACGCGCTCCTCCCAGCCGTCCGGCAGCGGGCCCAGCTCGTCGTCAGCGCGCCGCTGCTGGCCCGGCTCGTCCGGCAGCGGCGTCGGCCGACCGGTGCGCGGGTCGATCCACGTCGTCGTCTTGTTGCAGTGGTCTGGCGGCCACGCGCGCGCCCCGTCAACTCACAAAGCGACCGGACGCCGGCTCGGCCCAGCTGCCCGCACTTGACAGAGTTCAGGGCGTTTTTCGACGTACAAAAACCTTCGGGAGTTTGTTCGCAAATGTCGCATTGGTTGACATGGCTTTGTTTCGTTCTCCAACCTTTCAAAGTGCCTGCAACGCATGCAGCTCGTCCTGATTTTACTGCACGCCACTCGATCTTTATTGGATGTCGCCACCAGTGAGCAGCCCACAGCGCCAGCCGCACTCGCATCACTTCTTCATAATAGCGTTGTGGCTCTAGAGCACGAGTCCAGGGTGGCACTACGGGGGATGCGGGTATCCTCTCGTTTTAAGAATGGACTGCGTGCATGCTTGGGCGTGGATTCTGGCACCCAATGTCAGTAAAGTACTGACATGTGCGTGCTTGGCTGGGAACCACTCAACACACCCCAGAGATGTGAACTTACTGCACGACATCAGGTTTTTAACATAGACGTAGACGCTTATTCAGGTGCAAGCCAAATACCCATAAATGTTCGTATAGTCGCATGCGCTCTCTCGTTTAGTGTTCCCAATTTTCCGTTTTGTTTAAATGAGCCTCGGCTTCCAAACATAGTATGATCCTGGCACACACACCCCGGCGCGACGCGGGACACTGTGCTGCGCGGGCGTCAGCTCGCAATACCGCCAGCGTCGGTCGCAGTGCCTGGCGCCAAATGCCGCCAGCGTCGGTCGCAGTACCTGGCGCCACATGCCGCCAGCGCCGGTCGCTGGACTTGGCGCCAAATGCCCGCCAGCGCCGGTCGCAGTACTTGGCGCCAAATGCCGCCAGCGCCGGTCGCTGGACCTGGTGCCAAACGCTGCCAGCGCCGGTCGCTGGACCTGGTGCCAAACGCTGCCAGCGCTGGTCGCTGGACTTGACGCCAAATTCCGACGGCCATAAACATCCGTGAGGCTCGTGAGGCTATCACAGACTTTGTACGGGAAGAAACCGCTCCAGACGGAGAGACTGTCTTTCTGAACGCACAGCACACACGGCCACAGTGGGCTGGCTCGAGCCGGCGCGGCGCTGGAGCGCCGTCACCCACCGATGAAGAAGATCCGGTTATTGGGCGCCCTCTGTACGGTCCAGCCGGCTGGCAGACCCTCGGGGCTCAGCTCCGGCTGTAACGAGCCCCACCGCCCCGGTCAGCACGGCCCACGCGCTGCCAGAGGGTCACCGCCGCCGGCGCCGGGCGGCACCGGGCACGACCTCCGCTCGGAATCGGTGGCGCTCTTTAGCCCTCGTCCCATAGATGCTGACGGGTTAGGTCGTGCTTATTCTTTGGGACCAGAGGCCAACACGAACAATGACGAAACAAAGCGGGTAAAGTTTACTTTACTTTACTCGCGACTTCGAACACTTGATTTTACTGATGTAATAGGCAGACTGAGGTAATACATGGGAATCATTTCAATTTTGGGTTCGTAAAACCAAACAGCGCTTTGTCCTGTAAGCCATAGTAAGGCGGAGGTCACAACACTATACACCTTCCATTCACTCGCCGCTGCCAGCCATTTCAGCTCGCAGCTCGCATGAGCGGACGGCGCTGCGGGGCCCGCTCAGCTGGGCGGGACACCTCGCTAGGGATCAGTGAGCGGACGGCGCTGCGGGGCCCGCTCAGCTGGACGGGACACCTCGCAGGTGATCAGTGAACGGACGGCGCTGCGGGGCCCGCTCAGCTGGGCGGGCCACCTCGCAGGTGATCAGTGAACGGACGGCGCTGCGGGGCCCGCTCAGCTGGGCGGGCCACCTCGCAGGTATCAGTGAACGGATGGCGCTGCGGGGCCCGCTCAGCTGGGCGGGACACCTCGCAGGTGATCAGTGAACGGACGGCGCTGCGGGGCCCGCTCAGCTGGACGGGCCACCTCGCAGGTGATCATAGAACGGACGACGCTGCGGGGCCCGCTCAGCTGGGCGGGACACCTCGCAGGTTGATCAGTGAACGGACGGCGCTGCGGGGCCCGCTCAGCTGGGCAGGACACCTCGCTAGGGATCCGTGAGCGGACGGCGCTGCGGGGCCCGCTCAGCTGGGCGGGACACCTCGCTAGGGATCCGTGAGCGGACGGCGCTGCGGGGCCCGCTCAGCTGGGCGGGCCACCTCGCAGGGGCTCAGCTGCGGTTGGAGCTCGCCACCGCTCAGCTGAGCGCCGCACCATGGCCTCCGGGTGCAGGGCTGCGCCGGCCGGTCGGCTGGCCGCGCCGCCGGCTACTCACATCCGCCGGCGCCGACGTGGAGACGGTGGAGCCGCGCCGCGAGCTGGCCTCGGCCTCCTCCCGCAGCGACACGCTGTTCAGCAGCTGCCGGCGACACGGCGCGCTGAGCGGCGGCGCGTGGCGCGCGTGGCGCGCCGGCGGCCGGTGCGCGCTCGGGTGCAGCTACGTTACGGTACCACTGACTACGGCCAGACAGGGGCACGGGCTCTGCACCAGAGGGGCATGGAAGGGGAATGCACCTGTTCGTGCTGCTCATCATCGGTATCTCCGCAACCCTCCTCATCTTCGTCAATGTTGGACAGCTGCGTCCGCCCAGCGAGATGGCAGCCGGAGCGCCGGGCGTCAGAGTCAGCAATGTAAGGCAGAGTGATTGACATGCAGACAAAGCAACCAGGTATTGCAAAGGCATGTTGATCGCCTCAGTTTTATAGGAACGAGGATGATACATTACCACACCATCCCTCCCGCTTTCACCCCAAAACGAGGGAACGGCAGCACGAGCTCATTACGACGAGGAAGTCAGTTTGATGACATTAAAACCTAATGACATTGGATGCACCAAACGAAGGACGGTATGGGACGAGAAACACGCTTGAGAAGAGCAGTGGACAAGAGAAAGAACAATGCACCAAGAGTGTTTCTTCCCAGTAGCAGGATCGAATGCCACCTAAAGGCAAGGTAACCGAATAAACAGAAGGGCGCCGCGTTAGACGCACTTCAGTGTGGCAGGACCGCGTACTGAATAAACAAGCGGGAAATAAGCCCGTGCTTCCACAGGGCAACTGCCAGCCAGGAGCGCCCGACCGCGGAAGCCGCTGACCTGGTCCACGAGCGGTGAGTTGTCCTGGTGGGTGGAGTCCGAGTCGTCGGCGCTGATGTGGAAGCGGCGCCGGTACACCTCGTGCGCCGAGTCCAGACTGCGCTGCGACTCGTCCGAGGTGGCCACTTGTGTCGTCCTGCCGGCGGCGAGCGGCGGCCCCCAGGTCAGGGTCGCCGTCCGGCGGCGGATGGCAGTACCGTTGGCCGGGCGGCGGCCCCAGGTCAGGGTCGCCGTCCGGCGGCGGAGGCAGTACCGTTGCCGGGCGGCGGCCCCAGGTCAGGGTCGCCGTCCGGCGGCGGAGGCAGTGCCGTTGGCCGGGCGGCCGCCCCAGGTCAGGGTCGCCGTTCGGCGGCGGAGGCAGTGCCGTTGGCCGGGCGGCCGCCCCAGGTCAGGGTCGCCGTCCGGCGGCGGAGGCAGTGCCGTTGGCCGGGCGGCGGCCCCAGGTCAGGGTCGCCGTCCGGCGGCGGAGGCAGTGCCGTTGGCCGGGCGGCGGCCCCAGGTCAGGGTCGCCGTCCGGCGGCGGAGGTAGTGCCGTTGGCCGGGCGGCGGCCGCTCCCGACACCCTCCACCGTCGCCGGCAGCCGTGGAGACGTGAAACCCGACCCGAGTCGCCGCATGAGCGCAGCGAGAAAACATGAGCACATTCCGCGAAAATGTTCATTGAGCCAGATGAGCTAAAGCGGTTAGAGACGCCGATTGGATGCTGGTACCGATAAAAAGCCGTCCCACAAATCAGCACATACTGCATGCCCGTTTAGTGCGTGTAGGAAACGTGAGCAGAAAAAGGCACCTACCATTTTAAAATGTAGTACTTGATGTGCAACACATAACCAGAGAGACCGGCAACGCACACATCAGGCAAATGTCAGTGTTGAAGCGGAACGCTCTTGTTAACATGATGGCGTTATTGCCACAAGGTTAAACAACTATTTTCACCGACCTTGGCGCGTTTCATTCGGAGAGTCTAAATCGGTTGTCAGTTTGAGCAAAATGTTGCCGGCAAGCCAACGCTGGCCGTTGGAAGAAGACGGCGTGACTCCAAATGCAGATCATTGCCGCCAAGTCCTGCGTGGGAATCAGCTTGATTTTTCGACAGTTGCAGTACATTGGCTCGGTCTACGGCTTCGCTCGCACCGTGGCCAGCCACTGCCCGACTCCGACGCAGTTCGCCGCCGACAGCGCGGCCGGCACCAGTACGCACCCGGCGTCCGGCCGCTCCCACTGCGTGAGGCGCAGCGCGTGGCTGACGTAGTAGACGCGTCCGATGGCGTCCTGGCGCTCCTCCCAGTCGTGCGGCAACGGCGCCATCGCCGAGTCTGACGACGAGGCGGCCGGCTGCTGGCGGGCCGGACGCGGTCACAGATACGCCGGCCGCGGCTCATTAACGGTCAGCGCGAGACAACGGGGTCCAAGACCACACCACTTACAGCTGTGCCATGTCCGTGCACACCTACAGCAACGGGAATGGATAAATTATGTGTATTAAAAGCGGCACATTCAACACAACGGTGACACCTGTCGGCGGGAACATGTCAACAAACCCGAACGAAGACCCCAACACAGGCCCTAGTTCACCACACAAACCATCTCGCGGCGCCGGTCTGAAAACGGCAACGACGGGCTGCGGCGAGGCCAGCGACACTCTGAGAGGACCCCACGCGGCTGGCCCCGCCGTGTCGCGGTGCGCGGCCCGCGGCCCGCGGCGGCGCCGGCCGGCCGGGGCGCCTCACCTGGACGTTGGCGCCATCGGGGCCGTCCCCCTCGGCGTCGAGCACCTCCCAGTCGGGGCCGGGCTCGGACGGCTCCTCGAGCGACTCGTCGTCGTCCGGCAGGCCGGACGGATCCGGCACGTACGCGTGGAACAGCCGCAGGTGGCCGCGCACGTGCGAGCGGGCGCTGGGGGCGGCGGCGCCCGTCACAGCTCGGCCGGGCGGGCCGCCGGACGCACACGAGGCACGCTCCAACCGATCTGCAGGTTTGCACTGCTGGAGCGCGCCTCTCACATCGCACGTCTTCCAACGGCACGCAACAACTGGCTACGTTAGCATGGCTGTGAGATCAGTCACCCGGCTTCTCCTCCAGCGACGTTCAGCGTGGTTTGCTCACAACCACTGTTCAAGTCATTGGACGACCACAACCAGATCCGGAATTATCTGGGAGGGCGCAACTGGCGCGACTTTGGCGCGACTGACTTTGGCGCGATGCAGTTTATCGTTTCACTGTTACTGTTACCCATTGCAAGCACATGAAATAATGAAGACGCTTTCATGTTACTCAGTCGGCGCCAAAGGCTGCGAAATTTCAGGGGATGTAAGCTTACCTGACTAGCCTACGGTGTCAGGCATCAATGCAACAGACATTAACCCAACACGCCCGGCTATTCTTTGAGAAGCAGCTGCAGCTCCGCACCACCCAATCTAACGGCCACTTTGGTGCCTATACTACATCTCCGCGGGTGACGTGGAAGTGGGGGTTCGGGCGAAACGACGGGCAAACGTGACCCAGCGCCACTATCGCATCACTGCGCCTTCACACACAGCGTGATGAGACCCGCTGACGGGTTCCCGCTCGGTGCACGCGGAGTGCTAACTCGTGTCGTCGGCGGTCCCGGGGAGGTACGGGGGGAGGCCCCCCCCCCCACCCGTACCCCGTGAGCCGCCGACAGTAGCCAGTTCAGAACTGGCCGCCGATCACAGAGAGGTCCCTTTACATTCAGATCTGATGGCAACAAAATCGGCCGTTACTAACCTATCATTACACAACACAGACTCTTGCTGTGCTAATGCGTTCCGCTCCGCAACATTGGCCGCTACCGGAAGCAAGCGCTCTCACCACTAGTGGACGTGATGAACATGACCAGCGTCTATATCCGCTTGCCGCTGACCACGAGCACCGTCTCACACCCCAGCGCCATCTTGAAAAACATCGTGAGGCACACGATTCACCCTAGTGGCACGCGGATTTTTCTCTCCGAAGAACAGCCGCAGAAGGACACTATGAGGACGCTGTTCTTGCGCACAAAAACCCATCCGGTCCCCACTGCACCACACCTGCACCAGTAAGCAACACCCACAGCAGTGCAGTCCGGCCAACCGCCGTCAAAAGCACGGCACATTTACCTGAAACAGCACCAGAGCCCGGTGTTCCCGTACGCCGACATCCCTGCCGCCTAGCCAGTCGCTGGCGCGCGCACCAGTCGAGCGCGCCGCGTGCGCCACCTGTCGCGTCCAGCGACGGGCGCAGACGTCGGCGGCGCGCGAGCGTCCGTGCCCCGGGCGAGCGCGCCGGACAGATGATGAATGCGGCCGCCCGGCCATCGGCACGCTCGCCATTAATGCGGCAGCAGGGCGGCAGGAGGGGCCGGCCCGCAGCGCGCCCGGCGTCACCGCCGGTGCCGTCCGCCAGACGCCGGCCGGCCCGTCGCGTCGGGCGCCGCTCGGCTGACGCCCGCACAGACAGCAGCGCACACCCATTCGTCGCGAGCTCCGTGGAGCAGCTGGCAACGCCGCCTGAGTCAAGAGCGGCTGGTGACATCTTGGACTTGCTAACAGGAAAGAACCACTGGCGCGTGTGTAACGAGCTGGCGTGTGCCCGGTGTGCTATCCGTGGCGCGAGTGCGCATGAGGACTGGCGGTGCGGCCAACTTCGTGTAGCAGCCTGAGTACCCAGAGTAAATATATCAATTTGATGGGTTCATATTTGGCAGGCCCATGTCATGACCGCTTGAGGGCGATGCAGATGCGGGGAAAGGCTCGCTCCGTCGAGAAGCCGCGGAGATGGAAGCCCGCCGGTGGCGTGAGCCGATCCATCAGTCCCATAACAGGCGGCAGCACGGGACCGGGCCAAACCGTCGTGCGTATACCAGCTTCACCAGCCAGTACAGCACATACAGCTGGAGGTCCAGAGGAACCCTGCCTCACAATCTAACTGCGGCCCAGCTCGGCTCCACTGGATGTCCCACGAGCACCAGTTTGTACCGGCGCGTACAGCATGCCCCAGCTCCGCTGCTGGGAGGGCCGACCACCAGCTCAGCACCACACGAACACCAGTTTGTACCGGAGCACGCAGCATGCCCCAGCTCCGCTGCTGGGAGGGTCGACCATCAGCTCAGCACTACACGAACACCTGGCGGCAGTTCGTCCCTGTGCGGCTGCACTGACGCCCACAGCAGCCCCCCCCCCCCGCCCCGCTCTCCCCACCTGGACAAGTCCCGCGTCGCCCCCTTCTGGACTTGCCCACGCAGATCCGTCCGCCTCATCGGCGACCCACAGCTCAGTCGGCAGGACAACCCGACCGAACTTCACAGAGAAGGCCCGGCTGACCTTCGAGAGGGACCGCTCCCTCCCACAGGTCCGCCCCGCCGACCCCGAGCCCGCGCCGGCCTCCGACTCAGCTGGCTCACCTGCGCGGTCGGAGCACATAATTCTTCTCCGGGATGGAGCGGCCGGGCCTCTGACGCGGCAGCGTGGCCAGCGGCAGCTCGATGCGGCCCAGAAAGTCGTCACGCGTCAGCCGGTTCTCGTCGTACACCTCCAGCACCAGTCTGTGCTCGGCCGGCTTCACGCGGAACAGAAACTCTTGGTTCCACTCCGGGTTCAGCGTCTGGGGCGGGGCGGGGGCCGTTTGAGAGGGCGGGGCGCGGGGCGGGGCTGCCGGCCCGACCAGTTCAGCGGAGCGGGCGTCGCAGCGACAGCTTTCTTCACGAGGCAAGTTTGCTATCGTCTGCAGTAGAAGATGCGCCACAGTATGAAGTAGAGCGTCCAGGGAAGAAAGCATACAGCACACACAGACAGGACTGCATCTTCAGGGACATTACTCAGTGCACGATTAGCGGGTCAACGATAGCGCGCCAGCAGTCAGCTGAAGAGGCCCCGATTACGTCACAACTCAGTGCCGTTGCAACAGCTGTCAAATCCCTCATCGACATCCCCATCGCAGCTGTAAACAGCGTCCGGTACATGCCCGCCGATCATGGACACCCGCATTTTGGAGGTCGGCACAGCCTTTTGCCAAAACATTTCATTTCGTGGCTATGGCAACCATGCTCTGTGGCGAGGACAGCGAGTGGCGACGGCGAGAGCCCGTAGCGGCGACGGCGAGAGCCCGCACGTACCCTTCTCTTGGTTTTGGTGAGAACGGCGTCGATCACCTCCTCACCGTCACCCTCGCCGCGGACTAGGTCGATTCGGACGTACGGATCGCTGGCGCCGAAGATGTCCTTCCTGGCCAGGTTGTGGCCCGAGATGACCCGGAGGGACAGCAATTTGGTGGCCTCCAACTGGAAATGTCATACGTTTACAACGGCGCGTGAACAGCACGACGGTGCTCACACTCACGCGCGGCAGTGCCAGTTGAATCCTGACAGGAGTTCACGGCAGTCGCTGTTCAGCAACAGCAGTTCCGTTAGCTGGAGGTGCGCCACACGAGAGGTTAGCTCTGACATCGGCCCACCAGAGATATACCGGATTCTGCCTGAAAGGTGGTTCTATGCTCACCGGGTCCACCCCTGGGTTTGCCATGTTATTTCTTCTGGTCAAAACTATGAATCATGAAGCTCAGTACAAACACAAAATTTCGCACAATAAACCTTATTGATAATGATTGGAGTTTGGTGGCGCGCCGACTACGAAAGCCATTTTGCACCTGCACAGAAAATCTTGTTATCGCCAACGTTCACATACGCAATGCTTAACATCCACAAAGCTTTCGGCCATATCAGCGCTCTAAAAAGAAACTGGTCGCAGCGCCGAGCTCCGCGAACAAAATTCCTTGGGTCTCGAGTCTTGATTTAGATTGGATTTCGCCACATTTGCGAACCACACTTATAAGTGGGCACGGGAAAGTAAACAGCGATCACTATATTCGGGCGCGTCGGGCGCGTTGTAACCGGCATCACTGATCTCACGTACACTACAGCCGGTGAGCCGATTTAAGCGGTATGGGACGAGCGAGGCAATAACAGACGGGCCTGTTACCACCACGGCGATGACATCAAAACGACAGGCAACAGACCCCATCGCCTTTCAGCAGCTACAGAAGTAGGTACCCTACATGTATTGTGGCATCAATCTCCAGTGCAGTCAGCCCTCGCAAGCAGAGGCGTCCCGTGAAGCGGTCGTGGACAAATTTATAAGTCACATCCTTGAAAACTAGCCACCTGGGGGCCAGGCAGGGGAAGCTTACGGCAGGAAAGGCCTTAAGTTCTCATTTTCGACATAGTGAGCTCTAATGCTCGGGCTCCAAATGCCCAACGCAGCCGACGTGCTCGAAAACCCAAAATAAACAAAAGAGCCCGCGTATTGAAAATCACCGCACTTCAGCAGTAGCCCTCCCACTCAATTTCGGTGCCTGCTTAATATGCTGTTCTCACTAGCACGGCCCGCTATAATGAGCGCCGGCTAGTTTCGTCACCAGAACTCACAAGGTTTGATAATTTCAACCCATGCAATCGGTTGAGTTTGAAGGGTTCACGCTTTTTTCTCAGCATATATGGACATCGATCACATTAAGTATTAGGCTTTGCGCCTTTCGCAGCTTTCGTGACCTAATCCCTCTCGGTCTAGACCACGACGTATTGTGTCCGAAGTCGGTGAGAACGAGGGGTGAGATTGCCCGTCGGTCGTTTACTGGCGCGTCTTCAGGTAGGAAAGTGCGCGGATCGGCAACTGATTTGTCCCGGAACGTTTGCTGGCGCCATGCTGTCAGCCCCATATAACCTGATAACCATGCTCTGGTTATCAGGATCTGACATCGATATTTGCGACGACCAAAGTGTGTGGATCTACGGCTCCCGCACGAGCCCGCGCGCGGTCGGCTGCACGCACCGACCCACATTCCCGCCCGGACTATTGTCGGCCCTCTGCCCCGTCACAAGGAGCCCAACCTTGTGACGTAACAGCGTTCGATCGTAGATACCTGGCTCTGGTTTCGTCCCGTCTCACCTGATAGCCAGTTGAGTGTGTTACACTCCCCACACTGATATAACCGTTTGCAGGTGGAGTTCTGACAATACGGCAATAGAGCGTGGAAATATTTACACAGCTTGCACGCTGAGGCGCATGGGGGGGGGGGGGGGGGGGGGGGCGGCGGATCAAGTTGCTGAAAACTGTAGAGCAATGGTCAGAGGCAGTAAAAATACAAGCTCGCCAAAAACAAGTGTTCGCCTTGAATAAGAGTGTATCTGGTACAGATCTGCTGATGAAACTTTCAAGCAAAATGTCACATAACCTTGTTTTAAGGTTGGCTCCACCTGACCACCGAATGAATGGAAATTAACACAGTTGTAATTTACATAATTGGTGGTTGTGAGCAACAACTCGCAAAACCCCAACCATTTAGGGGGTAAACTGTACATGGTGTGTGTACCTGCGTTAGGTTTACGTCTGTTCCCGTGCTTCGGTAATTGTATGGCACATGCTTTGAACAAGGTAACAAATTGATAACCAGATTATGTGGGTCCTGGCACATAGAGCAAAAGGACTTGCATCCACAGATCCCTCGGCATCAAACACCATGCTGACTGACCTACAAGGAGGGAAAGGGGGGGGGGGGGCAGCTAAAAGTCCTGAGATTTGCCAGCTCCATGTGGGGCTTGAAGGTAGGGTGTTGCACAACAATTACATGAATCACCTTAAAACCCAATAATCACTTAGGTTTGGAGGTGCAGAATCATAAGATATAAAACCAGTGGCCCCAGGCTTCTTGAAAGAACACAGAGACTGTGCATATATAGCTGCAGGGGGCATGGAACAGGGAAGACATTTTAATGGAGGAATACACTGAGCTGCCAGTACTCACACTATTATGAAACTTTAACATTGGCTCCATGAGGATGGCATGGAATGAGTTAGCTAAGCATACCACAATTTCACCACATTCCCCTCTGCTCACCAATTCACATCACATAACAATAGAAACAGATGAGTGGCCCTGTTTGTTCTCTTGACATGACCCTGCATCTGATTTGGGAGTGGAAGGGTCTGGTACCTATAACAAAACAGCCAGAACTCAATCAGGCTCACAAAACACACAACCAAATATAGGGATATATATATATATATATATATATATATATATATATATATATATATATATATATATATATATATAGCTGCACACACACACAGCTATATATATATATAGCTGTGTGTGTGTGTGTGTGTGTGTGTGTGTGTGTGTGCGTGCGTGCGTGCGTGCGTGCGTGCGTGCGTGCGTGCGTGCGTGCGTGCGTGCGTGCGTGCGTGCGTGCGTGCGTGCGTGCGTGTGTGTGTGTGTGTGTGTGTGTGTGTGTGTGTATTATACACATGGGTTATGGATGACAGCCAGGTTTGGGCTAGAGGGCCACAGTCACAGTGAAAGCTGGGGGTAGGTGTCATGGTGAAGTGTTGGGGGGAGGGGGTTGAGCATGGAAGTTAGGGGTATAGTTGAGGTATTGTAGGAGATAGAGCCAGGGTTTAAAGTTGGAGAAGGGTTAGAGAAAGTGGTTGGGGTGGAGTCATAGAGGTAGGGTTGGGGGTAAGAATAGGAATAGGGATTAGGTATGGTAGCTTTAATAAATTGGGTTAGCTTAGCTAGTTAGGTATTAATTAGCTGATGCTGGTGAGTGGTTCAATGGCCAGTGACCAGATGACAACAGGACCCATTAGGATATGTTGAAGTGCTTCAATAGGCACCATATATAATATATATCATGTGCTAATTCTTTATCAATGTTATCATACAAAACTCACATATGCCACTTACCAATTCAAAAATATCAAGCTCCATGATTTCCCAGCAATGATTCTGATTGTTTTTGGAGCCAGCAACAATGTGATGTCTGTACTCATGCACCAACATGGTGAGGCAATGTTGGCCACACAGCAATGATTCTTATTGTTTTTGGAGCCAGCAACAATGTAAGTATGTACTCATGCACCAACATGGTGAGGCAATGTTGGCTACACAAATTATCTGTCCTGGATAGGCTCAAATGTTATCTCCTGTAATCACTAGGTGGCTGCCTCATATGGTCGATCAGCATGGGTTACCAATTTTGCTCCCACATAATCTATGCATCACAGAAAAAACAGCACTGCATGGTGAGTGGGATAGGGTGGACACCATTAACATAATTTTAAGCCTGGCTGGTGTAAGGAAAATAAGTTATTATTTTAATGATATTCCTATAATGGTCTAAATCCTTCCCTAGCATGCCCAAGGCACAGTATTTTGTCAGTATCAGACACAGGTGGAGCATGTTGAGCATAAGCAGTGGAACATGCATGAGCAGGCGTGGCACAGACTGCACATTGTAGAGAGTTAGACAAGATCTCTTCAGCATGCATATAATGCTGGGTGGTTCAGGACAGCTTAGGCATGCACCTCTCTATAATTCAGCATCCACCAAGTGGCTCTGGTGCATACCAAGCTTTTATGCATGTGCTGCTTATAAAACATTAAGGACTGATTTGGAAAGCAAAACAAGGACCTCTAGAAAAATACAAAGCAGCAACAGAACTGCAAAGCATAGTCAGGCCATAAATACACTGCATTTAACAGATACCTATGCTAGAAATTTGCAGTGAAAATTACGAGCTGTTAACCTCACACTATTCCCGTCACTCATCTGGTTTTAACATGCATATCATTCAAATATGTTTGTGGGAGAAAATAGAGATGGCAAGGCATGGGAAATTCGATGCCTATAAGCCCCACAGATCATGCCTATCCTGGCCCAATGATAAGAGTGTGTGTGACACTGAAGCAAAATCAGTAAAGCCAATGGGACTTTGCAGAGGAAGTTAAAAAATACTTTAAAAAGTGCCTGAAAATAAGACAGCAAGGCAGCCAGTGTGTATCAGCAAAGGGGATTCTAGAAAGTACATACATGATTGGACAATGCTCATGGGCTTTAGCCACAGGGGTGTGTACCAAGGTGCAGTGATCTGAACATGCAGTTTGGGGATAGTATTAAGCTCCTGGTGCAAGACCATTACAATTCATAAAGCTTGCAATACATTAGTTAGAAGGGTCTAAGCATCAGTTTACTTACATGGCCGTTTAAGCCCATTTGTGGCTGGTATCCATTGACAGCCTGATCCCCCATTCTTCTAATTCACAGGAACTCTAACCCGCCAACAAAATATGACAACCTTACATAAGCCTTGTCCTCATCATAGCCTGAAAACATGCAATTGAAAATTCAACGTCTGCCCACACCTCAGATCAGAAAGCAACCCTCTCCCCATCCAAGACTTTCCCTCAACCTACATCCCCAAACGCAACATCTATGCCCAAACTCCCATCTTCAACTTTGCATAGGAGTCTCAAGGCCGTATGCGAGAGGCAAAACCGTCCGGAGATTTTTACTTCATCCTCGCTTAACGCTAGTACGTCACTGGTGCCGAGACTTCAATGCGCGGCGGAACGCTAGGCGCCCGACGTCGTGTTGAGGCATAGGTGCAGGAACACGGAGGAGAGGGGGGGGGGGGGGGGGGGGGAGGGGAGGAAGGCACGAGGCCATGCCCCCCACTTTTCACTGGGGGAGGGGGTCAGCAGTGGTAACTGGCCGATCCACTTTTTTGATTAAGGTTGTGCTTAGCTTACTTTTGCACTATATCAAACATATTCGTTTATTTACCTAGTTCGCCAACCATTTTCCTCAGGACGCGTCATCTTTGTCGTTCGCTCGTTGGCCTTCGCCTAGTATCACAGCAGCAAGGCCGACACCGCGCGGCCTATGGAGACTGCAACGCCGGGCGTCGAGGCTGGTGTTGCTATGATATGCGAGCGCGCATGTTCAAAACCATATTACACAGTTTTTTTTATCAGAAATCAATTCCGACTGAACCTTGAATATTTTGAGAGGAACATGGATAACCCATGTTGTACAACTTTCGGATCCCTTTCCACCTACAATCTACGTTCAGGGAGTCAAATATCTCTGAAGAACACGAAGAAAACATGGAACTGGAGTCTATGTGACTCCAGCTCCATGTTTCCTATGAGTCTGTTAGACAACCTGCGGCGATCAGGGGTGTTGTTGCATCAATGAGGGCTCCTGTACTGATCCGAGGCCAACTGCGTGGGTCAGAAGGCCTCTCGTGTCAGGGAGGGAACAATGTGATATGATATATCCTTCTAATAGCCTCCGAATTGACCAGGAGATCCCACCCGCGTCGCTCGAATGACAGGCAGAAGACACTTTGCGGTGGGACGGAATGGCCCTTCAACCCTTGACCAGAAACGGTAATGTGCCCCTGGTATTCTACTCAAAGAAAGTAAGTTCTGTTCCCTGGCCCGGAAGGAAATAATGGGTTTCATTATTTTCAAGTAGAGTGAGGTCTCATTATTGTTGAATAGAATGGGCTGAAATGAGATTAAAAAGCGAACAAGGTCATCTCATGTTTGCCTGACAGCGTCCATTTTTCGGAATAAACTAGTGAAGCAAATTACCTTAAAAGGTTTGAACATAGCCTCGAGAACAAGGACAACGATGGCCTGGGTGGCAGCTTCCGTAAAACCGAATGGCTTTGGCCACTACAAGTGCCACCAGACGGCGGGCGCCATGTTAATAAGTCTTCTAGACAAATTGATAGTTACAGAAACACGAAAAATAGACATTCTTCCTTTACTCTTCCAGTTCAACCACTAGATTCCAGCCCCACTTCGCGGTTCTTTAACACGCGTACGAGTAAGGAGTTAAATTGACCCCCGAAGGTTTTTCCAGAATGGTTTCCGAAGAAACGGCGTAGCCCCGCCGAATTTTGGATAGCTGTAGACAACTGAATAGCGAATCGTCTGGCGTATAAATTTATATATACGTTGTAAAGTCGCTGATCTATGGCAGGTCAAACTCAGGCCATGGTTTCAGCGAAGGCAATTTCTAGGGAATCGTTCAATCTTATCCAACAACGGAGTGTTAGACAAAGCCATAATCTCTGAGATATTTTCTTGGGCAACACAAAAATTGAATAAACAAATGACTTTGACTTAAGGTCAGGTATGTAGGTCAGACCAAGGTGAAAGTAACCCTGTTTTATTACTCTAGAGCCTGCTGGATGGGATATCATCTTGTGTTCATTTCGAATTAATTGACAACAGGAACCACATTATGCACCTTCCATAGCCTTTTTAAAAGTCAGAATAGGTCACTGACCCAGAACGACACAGGCCAACGTTTTGTTTGTAGGGACATACTGCCTAGCGTAATCTTTGTGGCTTATCCAACTGCAAAACTCAGAACGGTCTTGGATGATTTTGTTCACCATAACCTTCAAAAGGACGAAAGAGGTCACTGACGTTAGATCAGCATGCGAATTTTTGCTTAGAACAGTTATCTAGGTTCAATGGACCCTTTTGAGACCAACCTGGAATATGATCTTGTTCGAACTCATTTGACCCGAAGGTCATGACCTAGGAACCTTAGTTTCTGAGACCTTTAGGAGGGGGGTTCAAATTGCCCCCCCCCCCACCCCACCCTAGCGAAGGGTGTCCAACCGGCCACCCAGGCGCGTGTTAAGAGCCAATCCGTTCTTATTATCAGTTTGAAAATGGCACACGTAAAATATGCGACCAGATTCCCTTCTAAATGCAAAATTTGATGTCATAAAGCGTTCAAAGATACCTTTTCAGAACCGTCGTCATTTTTGTCCATCTGCTGACCACAACTCAGTATTAGCTGGTAAGCCCACGCTGCGTGACCTACTGATACCGCAACGCCTGCCATCGAGGTTTTTGTTTCTATGATTTTCGAGTGTGCATGCCCAAAATTACTCTACATAACTTGTATTTCTGATCGATTGAAGTGTTCAAAAGAAATCATTTCAGAAACGCCATCCTTTTTGTCCAACGGTGGGCCACGGACAAAATTTAGCCACCAGGCTAGCGCCTCGCGGTCTATGGAGACTGCTACTCCTGGAATCGAGGTTTTTGTTGCTAAGGTTTGCGAGCACGCATGTTAAAAAAAAATCACGTTACATAAACTCTCATCAATAACAGATTCTGGATGAGTTTGGAACATCTCCAGGCAAACATGGCTTGGCTATGTTAATAAGCGTTGTTGACCACCCGATCTGCAATCAAATTTTCATCTTCAAGTTTGAATCGAACATATCGATCTACAATTTAGCTTCACGATGTCCTAAGTGTCTGTAGAAACCAGGTAGAAAACTCTGACAACGCTTCTGAATTCTGTCGATTTAGAAAGAGTTCACTAAACCATCGTAAATTGAGCGCGCTGGTGATTCATTCCATGCTGTCGTTCAACGTCTGATCTATGCAGTTTATTGGCTTCAGAATACATACAGAACTGATTCGACGTTAGCTCCTGGTTTCTATTCTGGTTACAAGGTAGAATAACAATAAAGTGATGAAAACGATGTCCCTTGTTAACAAGTTAGCTACACCCAGGGATATTTTTCGAGGGGAGGGCAGGGGGTCACCATAAGATGGGCTTTTGTCAACCCTGTGTTCCCCTTGGCAACGCTCTGGCTACGCCACTGCCTACATACAGAAGCAGATCAAGTGGTCTACGTTGATTAATGGACAATTAAATATCGGTGGGGCTAATGCACACCTAAGGCAGGCAGCTTCCCGGAGGCTATTTTTCCTCGGTGGTGTGGTGTAAGGGAAAATAATTCGCAAAAAGATACTGTGGCAGGTGTACAGCATATGTATCATACACCAATTAGTAGTAATGCTGATCCAAAAATGCGCGACAAAGCAGCCATACGCTCAGTTCGCAGTCAGTCATGCGGGAGACAGCCGGGCCAGGGCAGTGGCCGCCGACGGCGGGCGGGAGCAGGGCTTAGATAGGGAACATATGACAGACGGACCCTAATTCTGTGGCTTGGTTTTTAAAGGAGAATCTCCAGTTTTATGTCTTTTGTTACATTGCTTTTGGCAGTTTCAAGCTTCTGAAATTGTTTCCGTCTAAAATGCTACTGCAAGTCTCTCGACAAGCAGCAACCGAATTTAAGGCGCATGAAAAATCTGTCGCACTGTGAGTCATCGATCCACTTTCAAAATTCTAACCAGCCTATGTCCAGGTCGTATGTTGGAATGTGCCCAGTGGAGGCAGATGTCTCCTCAATCAGCCAAAATGCATACCCGCTCGTGGAATTTCGCCTCCCCAGAAAAAACCAGTGTTAAAATGGACGAATAATCTTGGGAAGCTGGATAGCCTTATTTGCCCAATGACATAGATGAGTTGAATAGGCAGCATTGTGCGCCAATGAGAAACAGCTCTAGATGTATATTTAGCATAGTAGTCATGGCATTTGAGCAAAGGCGATAACAAACTCCATCTCTACTCCCCCCTTCCCCCGGCCATCGGGCTTGCCTTCAAGGAAAAGTTCTTGAAGTACACCCTGAGCTTGTCCCCTCACGTTTTGAAACGTCCCTATGCCTACGTGTTGAGGTGCAATGGGGGCATTGGAATGTCGTGTATACACACACACACACACACACACACACACACACACACACACACACACACACACACACACACACACACACACACACACACACACACACACACACACACACACACACACATATATATATATATATATATATATATATATATATATATATATATAATGAAAAGTCACCAGCAGAATTCAAATTCAGCGAGCCGATTACGTAAGATTTTATGACGAGTATGATAATTTGTTTGCAAGCGTATTACCAAGGTGAGAGGCAGGCGATGTCACATAACCTGAGCAGCTGAGTGTGTCGTAAAGCACACTGGCTTCCTTCTCCCTTTGATTTTATCTGGATCCTCTTGATGATCTCCTTGCCTCTGCTCGCCACGTGTCAGCCCCGCCGGTTTTGTACCCCTCCTCTGGAACGACCCCTCGGCTTCGCCTGCGGCAAGTCACCTCGCCGTGGTTCCTCCTCGTTCCTCCCATTGGCTTGGGAGTGCTAAGTCCGCCTCAGGTGCTTCCGTCGGCCGATGTATTTCGACCTCGCGACCGACAGCTGACGTCACGTTTTCGACCTCGTCACCGACAGCTGACGTCACGTTTTCCGGACCTTTCGACCCCAGCCCGGTGTTTCCACGGCAGCTCCGCGCAGACAAAAGGTGCGTTACCAGCGGGCACCGGAGAGCCGGAAGTGAGATGATACTCGGGTGCCAATGTACGCCAGCCGTGCCGTACTGGGTGCCTTCTACCACTTCGGGCTAGTAATCAGCCTGTCCAACCTTCGTGGTCGCTAGCGACTGGGCTTGATTTCGAAAGTTGGCTAGCTTTTCTGTGGGCTTTACACTGAGGCTGAGCATGTATATATATCTC